GTTTTGTTCTTTCTATACAAGGAGCGTACTAAGAAATACAGGAAGCAGCAATATAAGAATACTTCACCTTCTTCAGCTCCCAAAGGCTTGTACTTTCAGCACCACAATACAAAGGACTTCGGTGCAAAGGATCATATGAAACTCCAGTCTTTCTGCCTGGGTTGGGAAAGAGATGAAAAAGCTTTTAAGTTTCCCCAAGCTGCTTCCAAAGAAGCCCTTGAAAAGACTTGCTATCTTCTAAAAGGTTCTCCAGAGGAAGTAAAGCTAGAAGCACGCTCAAAGCTAGATAAGTTGTTCTAGCAAGCTTCATAAGCAAAAAAGTAATTAGACATCCTAGCCCTGGCTACATCACTCTGAAGATGTCTGAACCTGGAAGCAAAAATCCCAAACCAGCTTATGTTTAATGGGTCTGTGAATACGTAGTAAAGTGAAATAAACTAGAAAATTAATACCGCCTCCTCATCACTGCTGAGCTAACAGACAGAGCAGGAAAAACAATTCAGATTCATTCATTTGAATCAAATTTCAATTTAGCAAACTTTAAAATAATGTTTAAATCCCCTAATTTTTCAAAAAGTCTTGATCAACCTGTTACTGTAACTGAATGTTGGCACTTGAATGCATTAGATTTTCTTGCTAATTTACCTCCCATATTCAGATGATGCACCCATGAGGGTGCTGAATTTGGATCAATTGTTTTGACAGAATTTTCTGGTGTGCGCCTTCCTTCCCCTTCTTCTTTATCTGCATCCACAAACTTTTCCTCACTCTCTTCGGCTTCTTCTTGATCATTAAAGCACTCCTCTTCATCAGATTCCTATATAAAAAAATGTTAGTGAAAAGATTTTCCAGTTTTATTACGATTTGCTAGAAGAATGCACATATTTCTGAAGAGATAGCACATAAGAATACAAACAAGCAATGACCAGTGTTTAAACCATACAGGTTTTTAGCCTTGATACAGGACTTACATCACATAAGTCATAAAGTTTAATTTTAAGAGTAATGGTCCCTCTGCACTTGAAAAAAACAATCCAATACTACTTACTTGTACTTCAAACTGCAGACAGAAGAAGCAAGCATGTTTTGATAAAGCTTCTGGGACAATAAGAATGTTTAACTGCTTATTCAAACAACATTTTGCAAAATAATCCCCTCTCCATAAATGTAGTCCACCGGACCTGCTAAGAACGCTTACCACAACCTCTTCTACACAGATTCTTAGTATAGTTTCAATTGTTCAGGTGGTCTCTCCCATAATATACTCAAATATTAATAAACCCTCATAAAAATTCCCTTTAAAAGCTGTCCTTTCCAGACGCAAGAATTATTGGCAAAGGTAAACAGGGCAGGGATAGATTTTTTTTTTATTTTTAATGAAATTAGAAGCTGTTAGTGAAAGCTCAATGAAATAAACGATGTTGTACCACATGATCCTGTAACTGGACCCTTAACCCTGGTTTTACTTTCAGAAGCTCAGACAGAAGGTACAGGGTTCCACAAATAAAGGGTGGCATTTGTCCACAAGTGACTTGAAGTAATCTCTTCACAAATGCCTTCACTCGCCGTAGCGCTACGTCGGCCTTCAGAGACTTATAGACAAGATTAAGAAACATGGATGGCTTTGAGCAAGTCGCTAAACCAGGATCTAGTAGCTTCCTGTAGAAAATACAGCAGAAAATATTGTTGATTGCCATAATGCACACAGGAGAATAACTGCTATTAACTTTTCAAAGTCATATCTAAAAGACTAGTTATAACTTGTTCTCCAACAAACTCAAAACACGCTGATCAACCCTAAAACGTTAACAGCAGTGTAGTATTAACAGAGCAGAGATACGCAAAAGGGGGGGAAAAAAACCCATACCAGCAGATAGAAAAACTGTAGGAAAATATAAAGAAACTGAGGTCAACTGAAAAAACTTTCAAAACTGAAGACATTCAAAATGTGAATCCAATTTGATCTATTCAGACTTCCAAAATAAGTAAAGAAATAAAAGGTTAGCACTAGAACGTTGCACAGTCAGACTTGACATACTCGCTGGCAAGCCCAATTTCTACTCCAATTTTTTTCCAGGCTGCCAGGCGCAAGAAGGCCCCTAAACACATTGCATGTTCTGAGGGGAACAAGAGCTCGCTTTTAAAAACGGCAAGTTCTCCTTTGTCAACTAAACAGAAGCCTACAAGAATCCTATAAAGATTCCCAACAATCAGCTGGAGCAAAAAGGAGATTCTTCTTACAACACAAGACTTTCTGACCCTACAAATTTAATTATTTAGAAATTCTGTGGATGTAATTTTTCCCTCTTTCATGGAAAAACATGTAGAAGGTTTTAGGCTATTATGTGTCTAAAATATAAACTAGCTGTTAAGAGTGACTTCAGAACTAGTAGTTATCAATTAATTTCACAATATATCTGAAATTAAAACACTCCACCAGAAAACAATGCAAAGCATGAGATCTAATTATTGCGTTCTCAGGACCTGTCAACTACCATTTGTTTTATCCCCGTGTTAAGTGCAAGAAAATACGTTTTCTTTTAAGTCATAAAAACCATCAGAAATTTTTATTCAAGGAAGATCTCAAATTCCAAGATGTTAAAATCAAAGTAAGTGTTTCTACAACATTACTTTACATTGACTACTTTGTTAAACAAAATTTATATTATAAGTCCAAACCTGCCACTTACTTGTAGAGTGCTGCGTAATACCTATCCGATACAGTCTGCTGAGAGTCCATTACTTGAAAAAGTAACATCAGGGCCTGAACACTGGTACTGAAGTTCACAAGATGCAGAACTTTAAATAAAGTGTTCATTTGTTCTTTCACTTTCTCATCACCAGTCTCAGCATACGGGTAAGCTCTGTTTACTCCACTTAGAAGTGCACTGAGCATTTTGGATTCAACATCTTTCTTTTTAATGCAGTTCCGAAAAAAGCAGAAATACAAAGTTATCAGTTTGTTAGCCAATGCACTTTCTTCATGACTGAGAACTATCTGATTTAAAAAACAAATGGCGTAATATTGAGTCTTCACACTAATGTTTGACCGGTACAAAAGCCTCTCCACCTCATTGCACACTACTCCTTTCATGTTTGGATGTTTGTGAAGTAACGTCTCTAGAAGATAAGAGGCCTTGGTGGCAATTTTGTTTTGAGGGTCTCCCAGTTTATTTACCAGCTGAACAAGCAGAACTTTCTCCTGCTCAGGCTTGTTACAGAGAAGCTCATGAGCAACAGCCAGTGCTCGGGCTTTTGTTGCAGTCAGAGAATCATGACTCAATGTTTCTAACGCTTGCACAAACTCTGCCACCTGTAGTTTCAGCTGATGCTCAAAGTACCAGAGTATCAGTCGTCTGTCTCTTGAATCTCTGTTGCCACTTGACATTTTTTCTAAGTTGTTAAAAGGATGCTGTGAAAACGACCATAGTTTACGATTGTCTGGTAACAGATCTGAAATGAGAAGCTCCTTGAAAGTATCCAAAGCCATAAGGCTCTGATGCCTGCTGCCCTTCTTCCTTATGAGGTTTACCAAGTTCTCAACAAACTGGAGACTGTGGACAGCACTGTCCTGAATGAGAAGGGTCATGGCTGCCATCCTGTCAGCTAAGGTACCTGATGACACAACAGTTTTCATCCACGCAGAAGAGGCCCCCTTCTGATAATTTGTCTTATTCTTATACAAATCTGCCTCATGTTGGTATAGCTTTTGGGCCAAGGCCTTATACTTGGACAGAAGTGCCTGATTTTGTTGTTCAGAAGAGAATTCATTGCTGTATTCTAGATCATACCATTTGCTCCCTGGTTTGATCAGTAGCACTTGCCTAGCATGAAATTCAAAATCTTCTTCCTGCTGCTCTTTCTTTACTGAAAGCCGTTGGTCTTGATCACGCAAAGCTTGTTTTTTCTTGCTGTCTTTCCCACTGCTTCTTTGCTCTTTGACTTTATTCCCTTTTTTCCCTTCTAAAGGAGAAGCGCTAATTTCCTTCTTGCTTTTCTCTTTCTTTGGGGGCTTCTCTTTTTTCTCGCTGCCGTCACCACCGTCGTCGTCGCCATCGCCATCCTCCACCACGAGGCAACTTTCCGCGTACTTGTCCAGCCCCAGGGAGCTCACGAAGGCCTCCAGCTCCCCGGCCTTCAGGTCGTCGATGGCTCCTCTCTTCCCACCGTCCACTACCTCCTCCGCCTCGTCCACGGCGCACAGCATGAGGTAGTCTTGCTGCGGGGGACAGCACGCGCCCGTTACGCGCAGGCCCAGCGCGAGG